CCTGCCCTATGCTTCCTTATGGGAAGCATAAACAATGTAGACTGAAGTGGAGTTTGCTGCGGCTCTTTCCTCTGTTCTAAATGACTTGAACACGTCTTTAAAACCACAACAAGAAGAAGAGCTAAAAGCCTTTCTTCTAAAAAAAGATGTTTGCGCCGTTGCCAGATGCCATCTTTAACTACAACTAAAACACTACAGCGCTGCGCGGTACAACCGGCATTTCCGCCTTTTTCCTGATTGGTTATTCTTGAGCTGGCTAGTCCCGCCCCTCGTACGCCTCTCTGCCTGTGAGTTACTGGACTCTTTTCTCTGTGGAATTAAACAGAGGCAGAGTCTGGCAGGTCAGGCTAGATTTTCATGTTCAGCCTGCAAGAAAAACCAAAGAGTGGCCGATCATTTTCAGAAATAAGGAGTAAAGCATGCTTTTTTCAGTAAATCTGCTCTTCAACCAAGTTATGTTAACGGGTTCCATTAGTAATATACATTTACTTTAACATTCAATTCAGTTCAATTCAAAAGTACTTTATTAATCCCAGAGGGAGATTAGAAACATAACAATGTCTTGGTATTAAAGGTACGTAGCAAATTTTTCTCATTTTTAAAAAATTTTCTTGAACCACTCGGATTTGAAAAGTTTGACAGAATTATGTTTATGTTTATGTATTTAGCAGACGCTTTTGTCCAAAGCAACTTACAAGTGATAATCGGCATGTTGCCCTTGAGGCTAACAACAACAATAACAACAACAACAGCAACCAATTTCCAGTCAGTCGTACTGTAGGTGGCAGTGAGGCAGCATGATGAATCATGGAGAGGAGGGTACAAGGAGTGGACAGTAGAGAGGGGGGGGGAAGGTGCAGGGAGGGTGCTAGTTAAGAAGATGCTCTCTGAAGAGCAGGGTCTTCAAGAGTTTCTTGAAAATTGCAAAGGAAGCCGCTGTTCTGGTAGTGCTTGGTAGGTCATTCCACATCTGTGGAACGATGCATGAGAAGAGTCTGGATTGTCCTGAGCGTGGTGTAGGCACTGCTAGCCGACGATCCTGCATAAAACTGTCGTTAAGCAGTCGTGGCCTCACCCATCCTGGCTCATGACGGGGAAGCCTTTTGTTGGTTTAGCGTCCAGGAAACAGCAGAGAACGTCTTGGCTAGGAGAAGCTAACTGTTAGCATTAGCATCTCCACCACACAGCAGAACTCCTCCAGGCTTGTGTTATTTGTGGAGATAAAACACACACACACGTTGCGGAGCAAACAGAGTCAGTGGAAGAGCCAAGATAAATGAAAGCGACCATGGAGATACTAGACTCTAATATCAGACACCCCAGAAATGTCTCTGATCTCAGAAATGACTCTCCTCATCAAACTGCTTCAGTGTCGCGAGGCCAAACCGGCGTTCCGGGCGTTCCTGAAGAGGATGGACAGAACTCTCTCGTCCCACATGCTGAGGTAACAAGCGTCTCAATCACTGGTGCATTTGTTATACAGTCAGCGTCCCCCAGAGGAGCCATGGAACAATGACACCTGTTGTGAGTGTGTTTGCGTGTTTGGTGCAGCCTCCAGGAGCTGCTGCTGTGTCCAGCGTGGAGGATTCAGGAGTACGTGACTCTCCTCCAGGCTCTGTGTGTGAACACACAGCCCCATCACCCCGACCACGCCCACCTCAGCTCTGCCCTCAACACCATGCAGGAGCTCAGGCTGTTCATACAGAAGGTGAAGCAGCTGTAATCTGCGCTGCTGCTCCTGGCCGCTGCAGATCCGATCCAATCAAGTGTTTTCTTTTTCAGCTGAAACGAAACTTGGAGGCAGACCGGGTGCTGGAGGAAATGCAGCAAATGGTTCTGGGCTGTCCGGTTAGAAGCACCCGTTTATAATCTGCACGTGGTGTGGAGCTGTTGTGGGACTTCCTGTGTTCTGTCCTCATGCAGAGCCTCAGAGAAGGAAGCAGGAGGCTGGTCATAACTCAGGAGGCGACGCTGCTCAGGTGCCCAGATGGACAGATTCCAGACTCGCTGAAGTAAGATCTCAGATTATCTCTGCTCAAACCCAACAGTCATTCGATGTAATCCGCTTTTTTATATAGAGTCAAAAATTAGAAAACAATGTTTTTGATCACATTTTAGCTTTTTTTTTTCACCTCTTCCTGTTTAGGATCTATGAGCAGGTGGGAGACGTGGGCCTCTTCCTGTTCAACGACGCCTTAATGCTGACCAGGAGAAAAGTGCACCACACACCCTTCACAGTGTCCCACAGGAGCACACACACATTCCTGGCTTCTGTCGCCCTCACCAGCCTGTCCATCAGAGAGATTACACACACACGCTGTGAGTTTTAGCTCTGATCCTTCATCCCATCCTCAGGAATGGAGTTCAATGTCTGTGTCCTTGTAGATGTCCACCATGCATTCATCCTGGAGAGTCCTTCACGCTCCTGGGTCTGCGCCACAGAGCGAGGTGGAGAAAGAGAGTGCTTCCTGTCTGCGCTCCGTCTGGCTGTAAAGTCTGCCCTGAGAGGACATCAGTGAAGGTTGACACAGACAAGCGTCGGACTTTAGTCACAGATGCAAATGAAAGGATCCTCTGAATCTGAGGTCATATCTAAACCCAGACAGAGAGGGACAAAGAGCAGGTTTGTGAGGGAGCTCTGACTGAAACTTGAAAATAAACACATTCAGGAATCTGTTCCTCCAGGGTTTTTTAGACACTTTTATGACTGCTGTTGCTTAAAGAGCGGGTAACACCTACGTCAGCTTAGTGAGCACTTCTGCTTTGCTGAGATAATCCATCCCACCTTATAGGTATGCCACATCAAGATGCTGATCTGACATCATGAGTAGTGCACAGGTGTACTTTATACTGCCCACAATAAAAGGCCACCCTGGAATGTGCAGTTTTTTGCTTTATTGGGGGTCTAGGGACTCAGAACCGGTCAGTATCTGGTGTGACCACCATTTGCCTCATGCAGTGCAATACATCTTCTTCACATAGAGTTTATCAGATTGTCAATTGTGGCCTGTGGAATGTTGGTCCACTCCTTTTCAATGGCTGTGCAAAGTTGTTGGATATTAGTGGGAATTGGTACACGCTGTTGTATACGCCAGTCAAGCACATCCCAAACATGCTCAACGGGTGACATGTCCGATGAGTATGCTGGCCATGCAAGAACTTGGTCATTTTCAGCTTCCAAGAGTTGTGTACAGATCCTTGCAACATGGGGCCGTGCATTATCTTGCTGAAACATGAGGTGATGTTCATGGATGCACGGCACAACAATGGGCCTCAGGATCTCATCACGGTATCTCTGTGCATTTGAAATGCCATCAATAAAATGCACCTGTGTTCTTCATCCATAACAGATGCCATCCCATACCATAACCCCACCACCACCATGGGCCACTCGATCCACAACATTGACATCAGCAAAGCGCTCACCGACACGACGCCACACACTCTGTCTGCCATCTGCCCTGAACAATATAAACAGAGATTCATCCGTGAAGAGAACACCTCTCCAACGTGCCAGACGCCATCGAATGTGAGCATTTGCCCACTCAAGTCTGTTACGGCGACGAGCTGGAGTCAGGTCAAGACCCCGATGAGGACGACGAGCATGCAGTTGAGCTTCCCTGAGACGGTTTCTGACAGTTTGTGCAGAAATTGTTTGGTTATTCAAACCAATTGTTTCAGCAGCTGTCTGAGGGGCTGGTCTCAGACGATCTTGGAGGTGAACCTGCTGGATGTGGAGGTCCTGGGCTGGTGTGGTTACACGTCGTCTGCGGTTGTGAGGCCAGTTGGATGTACTGCCATATTCTCTGAAATGCCTTTGGAAACGGCTTATAGTGGAGAAATGAACATTCAATGCACAAGCAACAGATCTGGTTGACATTCCTGCTGTCAGCATGCCAATTGCATGCTCCCTCAATGCTTGTGGCATCTGTGGCATTTTGCTGTGAGACAAAACTGCACATTCCATGGTGGCCTTTTATTGTGGGCAGTATAAGGTACACCTGTGCACTACTCATGATGTCGGATCAGCATCTTGATGTGGCACACCTGTGAGGTGGGATGGATTATCTCAGCAAAGCATAAGTGCTCACTATCACACATTTAGACTGATTTGTGAAAAATGTTTGAGAGAAATGGTAATATTGTGTATCTGGAATGAATTTTAGATCTTTAAGTCCATCTCATGAAAAATCGGAGCAGAAACAAAGGTGTTGCGTTTATATTGTTGTTGAGTGTATTTTCACACAAAACCTAAAATACTGTTCCCCCTGTTCGAAAATAAGCCTGTACTTGGTATCAACATGTGTCTTTAAAATTGACAGACATCATATGTGTAATCCGTGGCACATAACAAGCGGAATTAGAAAATAGCGTTTTTAGCCCCGGTGACTTGCCTTCATTTTTTCGTTCTTCCGGGGACCCGTGTCCAGAAGTAGATGGGCGTGACTTACGCTCCCTATAGTCAAGTTGGAGCTAAAGTTTTGTTTTGGTTTGAAATTTCTTAGACACTACCAACATGGAAGCATCTGAGATGTCCTTTATGGTGGTGAGATAGCTTAAAGTGGCGGCCATCGTGACCTGTATCCTCTCCTGAAGTCAGTTAGCTCGTTTTGTGGTAGTTGCATTAAAATCAGATGAGTGGGAGAGTTTATGCAATGAATGTAAACTCAGTTTTGCCACTTGGTGTTGCTGTTGAGTTTGTCTTGTTTTAGAAAATAAACGTTCCCTTTAGACTGAAGTATAAAAATCTTTATTGCAGTCAAAATAATACAGAGGTCACATTTTAAAGAGTTAGTGAGAGCTGGCATTAGTTCTATACATTGTTGCCACTGTTTTTAAAATATATACATGTGTCCCAATCCTAGCTTCTCACAACAGATACTACCACAGGGGAGGAAAACAAATACTCACCGTACAAATATGCATAAAACTTGACTGGACACACTGGTGTCACCACGACACAGCTCTTCCACTGCACAGTAGACTAACATCTCAGACTACAGCACACCCAACAACAAACGGCTGATTTTTGGGAGTCTTTGAATCACCACAGGTGGTGTTAACAGGTAGACTTTCTTCCAAAGAAAGGCGGAGTCTGCTTCAGATGATGTCACAGTCTTCTGTTCATTAGATTCGGGTTGTTGCTGCTGCTGCTGTGAGTGTGAGCAGCCGGGTGAATTTTATTTTGCAGTCCCAGGTTAGCTGCAGCGCTGCTCGGGCCTTTCTGGGAGCTGAAGCACTTGGGTTTGGGGATTCTGGTCGGTCCTGGACGTCGGAATGCTTCTACAGGGATCTGAGGGAGGAATATCAAATGATTAGTAAGACGTTTGCAGTTTCAGGACCCAGGTGGTCAGAATTAACACATGCTGTAAAAGGGAAGCATGCATTGATGTGATCAAATGACCTGTAGATGGAGACAAATCATACTCCGTAGAGAAAACCCACTATTACAAGTCACATGGTGCAACGTCTTGTGTTTTTTGTAAAGAAATAATAAATATCCTGTCAAACATCATCATCATCCCTTTTATTTCTAAACGTTTAACTAAATTAAAGCATTATGTAGAGTAGGAGTTTGGAATAGAAAAAAAAAGCCTGGTCATGTCCCTCTGGTTGTCCCACAACTCCTGTAATCAACCCCAGAGGGTTGCTAGGAAACCGGTGTTTGGCTGTAGCTGCAGCCTACTCTTCAAAGGAGATGTTCCCCTGAGCAACATTACTCTCCTGGTTTTCTCTTAACAACTCGCCGCTTCATTTACTGTGCAATCTTATTTTAATCGGTGTTTACGTGTGCAGCAGCACGCCAACCTGCAGAGCTGCAGCGTTTTCCAACGGCCGCTGTTAGAGCCGTGTCCTGTTTACACTAACTCTGGTAGGACGCTCTCATGTTAGGCCCTGAACACTTTAAATCATATTAGGCTTTATTTAGTTCATGACAGTTATGGAAAACGATCCACTGACGTGTATAAACACCTCCTACATGAGATCACGTCCGTTTCTACCAGCGACTGTTTATAGCTAAAAGAAAAACCCCTGCTTGAGCACAACCTCGCAATTTGTTCGTGTTCCTCTGCATAAACGTCTGCAAAGGTTTATGCTAAAGTTCCAGCAGTGGTATTAACCAACCCCGCCAGACGTGAGGGACTCTGAGTGTCTTCTTTGGGTTTTTGAGCACTTCTTTATATATTTTTTTAACAGATTGTGTCATCGACTCGGTTTGGACTTCTGCAGCTGAGTGAAACTGAAAGTTGTCAGTATTTCCACCAGTTTCATCACACTGCTGAACCCGTTCCCAGACGGCCCACTGAAAGGTCTCAGTGTTGCTTCAGGCAAAGCGTTTAAGTTTGGTCATATGTGTGGTTGTGACGTTTAGCGGATTAGCAAACTTCTGTGGGAATGATGTTCTTAAATGTTCAGGATGAATGGAAGTAGCAGGGCAGATATGGGGCGCCAACTGTAAACACTTGACTGGAAGTCATCAGCTGACAATTATCGGGTCACTTTTTTTCCAACTTGATGGAAATTAGCCTAAACTACTAAAGTATAAAATTTAGGTTATTTAAATGGCTAAATGATAAATATATATCCAGATAATAAATTAGTATCTATCAAATCTTAATACAATGCTGACTCTAAAAATAAATGTTACATGAATGTTTGGATGGAGTTAAATTTAGATAGAAAATTAGAGTTGGCATGTACAATTTAGGCACTTTTGACAAGTGATTTTGAATGGGTAGCTGTCATTTACCGACTGATACGACACGTTCACATTTTGCTTGAACATTTAACAAAGACTTATTATTTATGTATTTAAAATATTGAATTTATGATTTAAAAATAGCGATTTTAAAAAAATCAAAAGTTTGGACAAACTTAATTTTTAAACTTACATTTTTATTAAAAAGTTAAATCGACTTTTATATTTAGCTGTCAAATTTGAAGTTACGATGAACTTCTCAGTGTAGCGTTCATGTGTAACTTTAAAGTGAAGGTTTTGGATTTGAAAGTGAAATTTCGATGTAGCTTTTAGATGAAAAATGATTTTTAGATTGTATTACATTTACATTTGAATTATTTTTTTTATATATATTTACCATTTAGATATCCATTTTCAAATCAGATGGAGATTTATTTACAATTTGGGGTTATTTTGTTACATTTCCACCTCTACGGTTAAACCTAAAATATCCAAGTTGGTCAAGTGAAACCTTTGGATCTAGTTTTTACAAATGGCGCCCCATAGCCTGAACGTTTGATCTGGCTTTTCGTCCTGGGAGCCGTGTTAGATTTACACTGAGGAAGAGAGACTTTATTGTGCAGCTTTGTTCTCCCGTATATCAGCGGCGCAGCAGCAGCACTTCCTCCCCCCTCTGCTCTGCAACACCGACACAGCTGTTGCCATAGTAACTAAACACAAACTTTGTTTTGGTGCTTGTCTTTCTCACAGCATCATTTGCCACAAAATGAGTTTAGATGAGGAAATGCTTCTCCTGAACTGACCCCGTTCTCACCAGACGGCTCATCTTTTTGGCATCCTCCAGAACTTCCTGTCTGCTGAGGATTCTCATCAGAAGCCGATTGTTTAAAACCACCTCAGGAAGTTTGGTGTTTTTTAACCACACTGGTGTGATTCCAGTGGAAGTCTCAGCCAACAGAAGCGAGCAGCCGTCTGGGATCCCCGAGAGGCACAACCTTCCAGAAAGTCACATCATGCTCATTTTATCAGTCTGGCATGAACGCTCCACAGATTCGTCCTCCTCGGCCGAGCCGGACAAGCTCAGTTTATGAATTAAATCAGTTTTAAGTGAGTCGGGGTAATTAAGGTCACAGACAGCCGTCCCAGCTGCTAGTGGTTTTATCAAGTCCTTCTATAATGAATAGCATCTTGTGTAGCCTCCGCATCTTCTCATCACGCCCAGATGGTTTCTGGATCTGGTTTCCACAGCTGTCTCATTCCGTTTAATCACCTCTTCTCTGTCACACTCGCTGTGTAACGTCACCAAATGGACTGATTTTGAGATCCCACAGTTCGTATGCACGGCCAGAGTAAGTAACCCTGGCTTCACACGTTCTGCTGTATTTCACCCTGACAGGAGATGGAATGTCTGCACGCAGGCTCTTAAATCAGATGACTTCATCAACTGAACTGAAGCTTCAACTGATAACAAAAGATGAACAAGTAGCATTCTTTTCCCCAAGGTTCTGCACAGAACTCTGTTAGATAAACTTTTATTCCCAGAAGAAAAGATTTCATAACTAAAGTAATCATTTTATAATTCAAAATAATCATTGACGAAAAGAAGATCTTATAACTAAGATTTTATAATTAATAATCACTTGCCGTGTATAATTATAAATGATGAAATGTTTCATGAATCTGTTTAAATGATACTAAGTATTTTTACTGGATTAGGTCATCACACTTGCAGACAGAGTAAGGCTAAGATAAAGACATGACACATAAGTAACCTTGTCGCACATTTCAGAGTTCAGAATCGGAGACTGTGTTCTGAGATGCTTGGCAACTTCTGAGATAACACCAGGCCTTAAAAAGAGCTTCACTCTCAGTCTCAGTAAGTCAGACAGACAGAGAGAGAGAAGCTCAGAACGGTCGTCTGAGCAAGCCTCTTTCACCAGAAGGATTTTGACATAGTCAAAACCTTAAGCTGTTGCACCTGCAAAGCTGAGGACAACAAGATATTTGTCCTGCAGAACGAAGGTGATTTTGCGACACTCCTTCAGAGTTGTTTTGAGACGCTTGGTTCCATCCAGTCCACCTGTGTTACCTGGAAGCGATCCTGGACCGACCTGGTCGTACTAGGAGTTAGTCTACGGACTTCTGTACTCGGGGTCTCCAACCCCCCTGACATTTCGGATCCGCAAGGGCGCCTCCACTTGGTTACATAGAACACAGTGAGATAGCGTCTGTATGCAGTTTGATAAATAACAGCTGGTAGCTTACGTGCAAACCAAATTTCCTCCATCCAGGATTCAGCTTTCTCATGATACCGACTCTGAAATACTATATTCACACCTAGTTCCAGACACCCTTCTCTTAGTTTGTTTGTAAAATAATTAGAATTAGAATTGTTTGCAAACCTGACAAACAAAGAGTCTTAGAATGTTCTGCCTAATCATCTTAAAGACCAAGCAGGTGATATTCTATAATTAATAGATTATCACAGCTATGGGTCACAGTAATGAAAACAAAAATAAATAGCTCTTAAGCTATTTATTTAATCCAATTTACCCTCCATTGATCTCATTACAACTGCTATGTGCACACTTCTCCCATCAGCACCAAAAACGCTGTGCATCAATATTAGTGATTGTTCTTGTTGGCAGGACGTATTTTTCTAGGTAATTAACTATTTAAAAACAAACATGTGATTCTGTTAGCAGCCGTTTCTTTCTTTACATAAGATGATTAGACGTGTGCTGACGAACGCCTTTTAAGGGCCGATGTTTGGTTTATGAAGTCACGTTTTCTGTTTAGGTTGGGATCACAAATGCTACAGTTTCAAATGAATAGAAGTTAGAAAAAGCAAAAACTATGTCCTTCTAGAGCTGTGAATAAAAACTTATTGCATCGTAGGTGACTGGCGTAATTAAAAAGCACCCACGTTATGAAAGAAAGACTTTGTCTTTGTTAAAAAGGGAATCGATAAGATGAGTGAGAAACACTGAGGTATCGCTAATGATGCCAAAGTGTTTCGTTAGCTAATCCGTCACCATTTGTGTTTCTTTTTATGCTCCAACATTATGAAGTAAATGTAAATGATTGAGATGTGCTCGGACTTTTTACAGTCCCATGTTCTACGACGTAGACAAAAGTTTGCTAGAAATAATCAGTGAATTTTGGGTAGAATGCCTTCTCCGGGTCAGGGATGAGGTCCTGCCTCTAGTGGAGGAGTTCAAGTATCTCGGGGTCTTGTTCACGAGTGAGGGGAAACTGGAGAGTGAGATCGATAGGTGGATTGGTGCTGCATCTGCAGTGATGCGGGCGTTGTACCGGTCTGTTGTGGTGAAGAGAGAGCTGAGTCAGAAGGCGAAACTCAATTTACCGGTCGATCTACGTTCCTACCCTCACCTATGGTCATGAGCTTTGGATAGTGACCGAAAGAACGAGATCCTGGATACATGCGGCTGACATGAATTTTCTCCGCAGGGTGGCTGGGCTCTCCCTAGAGATAGGGTGAGAAGCTCGGTCATCCGGGAGGGGCTCGGAGTAGATTCACTGCTCCTCCACATCGAGAGGAGCCAGTTGAGGTGGCTCGGGCATCTGGTCAGGATGCCTCCTGGACACCTCCCTGGTGAGGTTTTATGGGCACGTCCAACCGGGAGGAGACCCAAGGAAAGACCCAGGACACGCTGGAGGGACTATGTCTCCCGCCGGGGTTGGGAACTCCTTGGGATTCCCCTGGAAGAGCTGGCTCAAGTAGCTGGGGAGAGGGAAGTCTGGGTGTCCCGGCTTAGGCTGCTGCAACCCGACTCCGGATAAGTGGCTGAAAATGGATGGATTGAATTTTGGGTGAATTGTTCAAGTAAGCCCCGCCCCCTCTGCAGCTGCATAGCTCAGGTAGACTTCACTGTAGAAACATCATTCAAACAGGTAACAGGAAGTTGGACTTTACATGACTGAACTGGTGTTCTGATATCTTTGACGGTTTTTACAACATCACTGTTTTAATTCACTGTTGATGACGTCACACTAACTTTGGAACTGCTAAAAGTGTCTAATGTTTGCCAACAAAGTAGCACAGCTTTGTTTCCTTTAATAAGGTCAGAAATTAAACATTCAGATGCCGTTTCTAGAACCTTCTTCCACCTGTCTCCCACAGCTGCAGGACTCCAGAGAGTTCACGCACCCAAGCTTCCAGACTTCTGTTCATTTTAGCCCAAAACAGGAATTCATAGATCTTTCTAACTTATCTTATCTCCTACATACAACCATGCAGAAACACGGAAAATCACCAGACTTTTGCAGCTCAAAGTTCCAAACAACTCTTCTAGTTTGCATCAAATTGATCCAAACGTAGCCAGTTTGTTTTTGAACCTTCTTGTATTACATATAAAAGAAATCCCTTTTTAAAGTGAGTAAAGTGTTTGTTTTGACATCAATCTGCATTTAGCAACAAATGAAATCATCCCCACGTCCTCTTAGCTTCACTCCCACAAATATCTCGTCTTCCATCGAGTCGTTTCCTCTTCTGTTTGGTGATTTAAATTAATTGCATGCCAGTTAGAGAAATGTGGACGCTCGGAAGAACTTGAGTAGGTTGTGTAGATGAGTCACTTTACAGGAGAGTCTGAATTAAACAGATGGTTTTAATAAACAGGAAGCCCCAGAAAACAGATCTTCAGAAAACCGTTGAAAAGATGAAGTGAGTTCAGCCTCCTGTGACCTATTACATTACACATCTGTGGTTTCCCATAGGTGAGCTTTGGGTAATGACCGAAAGAACGAGATCGCGGATACAAGCGGCCAAAATGAGTTTCCTCCGTAGGGTGGCCGGGCTCAGCCTTAGAGATAGGGTGAGGAGCTCGGACATTCGGGAGGGACTCGGAGTAGAACCGCTGCTCCTCCGGATCGAAAGGAGCCAGTTGAGGTGGTTTGGGCATCTGGTCAGGATGCCTCCTGGACGCCTCCCTGTGGAGGTGTTTCGGGCATGTCCTGCCGGCAGGAGGCCCCCGGGTCGACCCAGGACACGATGGAGAGGTTACATCTCCAATCTGGTCCGGGAACGCCTTGGGGTCCTGCCGGAGGAGCTGGTGGAGGTGGCCGGGGAGAGGACGGTCTGGAGCTCCCTAGTTGGGATGCTGCCCCCACGACCCGGACCCGGATAAGCGGAGGAAGACGACGGCGACGATCTGTGGTTTCTAAAACCCTAAAAGGAAAATGTCTCACTCTTGTTCCTCATGGATTCGTTTCATTTCTTGGCCTGTGTATCATACCTCGCAGTTGCACCTTCTTTCACTGTGATTTTGATTCAGATTCAGGAACACGTGTAGGTCCCCAGTCTTATTTTTAGTCAAAGCCAGGATTTGCCTGCAGCAGGATCTGCTTTATGGTGCACCATCGGAAGGTTTAAAGCTTTTAAACTGAGTTTCCATGAAGTCATGTCAGAGAGCTCCAAGTTAACATCACACCGCTCTGGATGGAGGCAGAAGCGATGACATCAGCCCATGATTTCAAGTCGAGCGGGCAAGCACATGTGGGAATCCTGCAAAGTTAAGTCTGTCTGTGAAGGTACAAAGGTTTCTCAGGCAGAAAGGTTTCCCAAACACTGTTATGTAACATGCATTGAAAACCAAAGCATACAGTTGATTTAAATGGAAATAAACCGCAGTTCCCTTCATTAAATAATTAAAAACATGCTGGGTGGATGAAATGAGTGAAATCTGCAAGCATGGATGACAAACTAAAACTTTGTTTGCACACTTTAATGATCAGAAAACAATCATTATGTAGTTTGTGAAAACTGCCACGGTACATCAGTGTGAATATTCCGAGTACAATACAGTAAGTGCACATGAGTTAAAACCTGGTTAAAATAACATTTTTGCTTTGCTCTTTTATCATGCAGGAAAACAGTTTTGTAGTATTTGATCACGCAGCACCAAACAGTGTGTTTAAACACTTAAATGGAGTCAAACACGATGGGGATTAGGACTAAGGATGTCTGACTCAGGGGTGAGGATGGGATGAAGGGTTCTGGGAATGTGGGGGGGTCAGTCATTACTTACTGTAATTTGTGAAGGCCTTTGGACTGGGGTGGTAGTGGGTTTGATCACGATGCTGCTTGTGATTTTGCTGTTGCCTTTGACAGCCGGAGCAGTCCTTTGCTCCTGGAGTCCGGCCGTGTGACACAGACTCTGCGTTTGCGCGCTGATGTTCTGAATGAACGGGCTCCCTAAGTGAATGTGGATTTTGTTGTCCTCTGTCGTGATGACATTTGGACCCGAGCTGTTGGACCTTTGGATCTGCCAGTTGCTCTGCCTCTCCGGCGTCACGCGGAAGACCGCATGCCCGCCAACGACCTCCACGGGCTCTGTGGAAAGGGAATGCTCAGGCGTGCTTGTCATCACAGAGACGATCTGTATGGGCGACACTGCTCGGTCTGGGCTTACAGAACCGCAAGAGTCTGGGGTCGTTGCTCTGGTGTATGTGGTCATGGTAAAAGGTGAGAGGGCCCTATCAGGTGAACACAGCTCCTCAGACAGGGAGGAGCTCTTGGATTTGGTTATTGGAGAAATGGACTTTGTAGTTGGGGACATGGATGCATTCTGGATAATGGTGATTCTCTGCTTGGGTGGACCTCCGCTTGTGGGTATGACAGCAGTGCTGGTGAATGATTGAGGGTTCTCTGTGGTTGGACTGGTGAACTCCAGCGTAGCTGTGTTGTGTCCGTGGTCGGGGGTCACTTTAATGTGCAGCGGCTGCCCCGGATGGTGGGTCAACACCACGTCTCCAGGCTGGACGTGGTTGCCATTAAGTCGCGGTTGCACTTTGCCATTGGCCTGATGAGGAGGGGTGTCCTTGCTCCTGAGGAAGGGGCCTCTCACCCGTCTCATGTTGTTGTTTAGATTGTTGGTGTTATTGATTAGAGAAGGGCTGCGTTTGGTGAGCTGGAGTTCATTACTGTAGCCTGTGTTGTCTTCGGGATCGCTTCCATCATACAGCTTCCCATTGACCACTGCTCGCTCTAGGGGTACCGCTGTCTTGTCTCCTGGAGACATGAGGTCCAGTGGCTCTGTTTGCACCTCCTTGGTGGACACGTGGAGGTCTGAAAAGCGCCTTCCATTCATACCAGGTCGAAGACTTTTACTGAAGCGTCTGTATCGTTCCAGTTCCCTGGTCAGTGTCTCCATTTCTCTGGCCAGCTCCTTGTTTCTGACCTCCTGTTGGGTAAGCTTCCTTTGCAGTGTGGAGTGGTCAGTCTTCATTCGACAGATTGATTCCTCTGTTCCAAGGTATTCATGAATCTTCTCTTTCAGGGCTGCCACTTCTCTGGTCAGGTGGCTTGACTTGGCTTCCTCCTCCTTTAAGCGTTTATAGAGAACATGCTCTTGGTTGCACTCTTTCTTTTCAGCCAGTTGGTATTTTGAAAGCTCTTTTCTGGAGATCTCCAGCTCCTCCATCAGAGCTCTGGCTTTCTCTTGTTCATTATTGAATCGTTTTTCAAGCGATTCAAACTCCGGTGTCTTTAATAGATCCCCTTCCACCACCTTTAGGTCCTTTAGTTTGCATCTGAGGCGTTCAACCTCCTGAGTCAACTCTTTGACCTTGTTGTCTTCCTGCTGGAAGCGGTTAGCTAGAGGCATTTTGATATGCTCCTCTTTAGCTTTGTTTCGCAGGTATTCTCTCTCAGTTGTCTCAAGTGATTGCAGACGTTTTTTCATCACATTCAGCTTTGACTCCAAGTCGTTGCTCTTCTCCTCCTCAGTGCATAACTTGGCCTTCAGGTCATCCCTCTCCTTGGTCGCGCTGTACATCATCTCCTCCAGCTCCGCTTTTGATCTCAGAGCTTTCTTGCTCTCCTCTATCAGCTTCTCCGTGACGGAAGTAACCTTGTCCTGCTCTGCCTGAAGTTTGCCGGTACTGTTTTGCACCTTGTTCTCCATCTGCTTTACCTTTTCCGCCATCGCCTTCCTGTCATCCACTAACATGACAGTCAGAGTCTTTAACTTGGTTAGATCTTCTTTGAGCATCAGCTCAGTCTTTCCCAGTTGGCTCTCAGAAGCCTCCAGCTCCTTCACTCTGACTTTCAGAGCTTCCATCTCACTGCTCAGAACCTTTGACACTGTCCTCTCCTTCTCCAGGTGACTTTTAAGTGAGATACATTCATGTTTGCTCTTGCTGAACACGTCCTCCAGCTTCTCCAAGTCTATAATTCTGTGATTCAGTTGATCGACTTCAGCTTTCAGGCACCGGCTCTGGTTGGACTCCTTCTCCAGTTTCTTATGCAGGTCTCTACAATGGTCCTCCATCCTGACCAGCTCTTCATCTTTCCCCTCCATCTCAAGAACTCTCTTCCGTAGCTCTTCTAGCTCCGACATCAGCCCAGAGTTTCCGCACTCGCCTCGGCTTATTTTGTCCCTGAGCTCCTGCAGTTCTTCTTCAGCTCTTCGCAGAGTCTTGTTGCTCTCCTCCAGCTCATCTAGCTGCCTGCTGAGAGCCGACAGCTTCTGGCGGAGCTGTCTGTTCTGAGCATCCTCTCCAGTCAGTTTGGCGGTCATGGTCTCTTGTTCCTGATGGTATCGACAGGCTTGTTCATGCAGCTCAGCCTCCAAGCGAAAGACCTTTTGCTCCTCTTCCCGCAGACGAGCATTAGCTGAGCTCAGCTCCTCCTGAGCTTGTGTGAAACTGGCCCTCAGTTCTTGGACCTTTGTTGTTTTTTGATTCAGCTGTTCGGTGAGACGCTGCTGCTCATCAACAATCATCAACGAAAACGACTTGAGTTTTGTCAGCTCGTCCTTAAGACTTGTGATCTTTTTGTTGTATTCTTCCTCTTTTCGCCCTTGGTAGGCCTTTTCCTGATCAATCAGCACCTTTAAGCTGTACAGACAAGAAAACAGACAAAGAGAATCAAAAAAATCTGTTTATTCGTGTCATTTCTACTAGATCCACAAGCTGGAGATGTACAGAATTATAGAAAAAACATCTGTATTCTTCACTGGTTTATGATCAATATAAAAAAACTAACTCACATCAAAAATACGTGTATTTTCTCTGCATTTGCTAAGGAGGACTAAACTTTATTTTTTGTCACGGAAAATTGGCCACATAAAATAGCAGAACTTTACGGTCATAGTTTGAAATATCTGTGGTTCTATTTTCCCTCCTGTTGCCCACTAAATCCCATAAGGATCAGGACCGGAGTTATGGCTGTAAACGCTTGTCCTTAAGTGTAACAAGAGGAGCGTTTTAGCAAGTTTCCACTGTGGCTCAGGGCGTAGCACGAGGTCATGACAAATGACCAAACACTGATCCTCTGAGGAAGATTATCTCACCACAAAAAAAAATGACAGTTCTGCCCAGAATGTAATCACCAGCGTTTTCTGAAGGAGTTTACTGATGGAAGAAAGGCCAAAGTCTAACATAAGGATTATTCTTGAAAGTTAATGCGAATGATCATCGGTTCACTTAAAATTTAACCCATTTATTTTTTTTTAGTTCAGAACACTTTTGATCAGAAAACTTAATTTTAAATGTATTCTTCTTTTGGAACTGGAGATAAACAGGACATGTTAGGGTTAGGGTTAGCATGCTGGTCAGTCAGAAAAAAATGTGCTGTCTTTTTGTTGCAATACCTTGAAAATGGAAAACAATACAAACAAAAGCTATGAACGTTTTATCAACAGAAAACTGAGATTTTGGTGAAATGGGAGTAAAGTCCTGCTAGCTTAGGCAGACATCTCTTTATAAACATCAGAGGGTAAAGGTTGAATATGGAACAGTTTAACAAAAAGCTGTATTTTTCTAAAATAGTACGTCCACAAGGCGTTTAGATGTGTGCAGGTGAAGGTACAGCATTTCCTTTAAAATCTATATTTGAATTAAAAAAAAAAGATCAAATATTGTTTTAAAACTGGGTTTGTATTTACATCTACCAGCCAATAGAGGGCACCATAGCAGGTTGCCCAACGCTTGGCTCAGCGATGCTGGCACTGTGGAAAACGGCGGACTTGGCAAGCCAAAACTGCTGCTTCTGAGCTCTGAATATGTCGTTATTCTTCTCAGAAGGGGAGCAACCATAAAAGATCTAAACCCAGAGAGTTTAGGTGAAGCTACAACAGATGGACCCAAATAAAAAATGTCACGTATCGGCAGTGAACCTGACATCCGGCAGCTGGAAACCTTGTTCCATTGTTGCAACTACAACCATCACACTTTAGATGGCGCGTTAGTTCGTATGTCAGACCTAGTGGTAGAGCGTCCACCCGGGACTGGGAGATCCAGGTTCAAATTCGGGTCGGATCAGACCAAAGACTTTAAAAATGGGACCCAATCCCTCCCTGCATGACACTCAGCTTTAACGGGTAGGATCGGGGGTTAAACCACCAAATAGCTCCCAAGCGCAGCCACAGCTGTAGCTCACCACCCCCCATGGGGATGGGTCAAATGCAGAGATGAATTTCACCAGTGTGTGATGACTAATGGACTTAGACTCTTACTGTAACCCTCGCAACACCTTCAAGTTGTCTGGAAAAGCTGGACTATGTATTTAAAGTTTTGTTTTCATAACCTCTCTCTCTCTCTCTCTCTCTCTCTCTCTCTCTCTCTCTCTCTCTCTCTCTCTCTCTCTCTCTCTCTCTCTCTCTCACTCTCTCTCTCTCTCTCCTCTCCTCTCTCTCTCTCTCACTCTCTCTCTCTCTCTCTCTCTCTCTCTCTCTCTCTCTCTCTCTCTCATCTCTCTCTCTCTCTCTCCTCTCTCTCTCTCTCTCTCTCGTATTATTTTTTAAATGTTTTTATTTTTACTGGAAAAAGTGGAATGTCATCTGTCTCTCTCAGCTGGCTGAGGACGTCGAAGATTTGTGGATATTTGGCCTGATGATCGTTGGATTTCTTCTGATTGGAGTGGGAGGATATCTGGCTTTCCGTAAAATTGGGATGACGGGAGCGATTGGAGGGCGACCCGCATCCATGGACGGCACCGTCCGTGTGGATACCTCACAGACTGGGACGTTGCTCGAGGTGAATCGCAAGCCTGACAATGTCTTAGCTGCGTTACTGGTGTTAGCGCGCAGGATTGATAACATCTCGGAAAGGGTCACTGGACGGTGTGGAGATGTTTAATCACTGAATTGGCTTCACTGGAGGACTTGAATGATCAATACAGACTTAAGGCAGAGAGGAAAAATTATCTCTGTCTGACCCAAACAAAGTTTCTGTTATTGAATCTGACGCCATAAGCAGCCTTGGAGTTGCATGCAAAACCCCCACGCTGGAAGGAATGCTGACAAATGCTGTGAATCTCTATCCACCCACCCCCCCGCCTTCAGATTGTGGTCTCCACCGAGGTCATCAAGCTGAAGGACTCACTGCTCTCTATGCTTCCTCATGACCTCCCTCCCCCTGCGGAGACAGCTGGTTGAGCGCCACAACGGGCCGCCCCACGCTGAGGAAACCAGGATCCCAGCCCCTCCCCCCTACCTACCGAGTCTCATGGTGTGAACTGTGACGTTTGTTGCTTACATGTCGGGTGTTTTTTTTTTTTACATTGGAGGGCTACACCCTGCTGGTGTAACCCTGTTAATGCCCTTTTTCCCCCTCCCTGAACTTCCCTCATGTATCCCCTTACTCATCTACAAAGGAGCGCCGTTATGGCTGCTCCCATGGTCTGCCTGTATCTGTCTTGTTTATATGTGTGTGTGTGTAACCTTGGTCAGGTTGTACCATGGAGTCAAGTTCCTACGCTCTGAAAGGAGCGCTGGCAATAAAATTCTTCTGATTCTGATTCATACTATTTCAACTGTCTTAACGATACTTCCTCTAACCTTTTTTTTTACTGGGTGTAAAAAAAAATACACCAAAAGATAGATATTGGGGTTTACTTTCACCTGCTGGGACTCACTGCTGCAGGACTGATGGGTTTTCTCAAAGAGAACGGATTCAGTCTCGCTGACTCACATTGTGTCACAATTAATTTGTTTCTGTTCAAAACTTGAAGTGTTTCTCTCGTCGTAGCTCTAACAAAGAATGCTTTGGACACTCAAAGAATCCTTCTGCCTCGTAACGTTCAAGAATGTTTTTGACAGAACTTGTAGTTTTGGTACAATGACTTGTTATAGACCACATGTCAGACGGAGCATTTTTATGTGGCCCGCGAGACAAATATCAAAAACATTAAAATTGACCCGCTGGCTGATTTTACTGCAAAGACTACAACTCCCATGATGCTTTGCGGCGTTAGCGCGGAGGCGAAGCTCCCCCTCCTTTGTGTTTTTTCCAGCGTCTGCTGCCGGTGTCTGCAGCTCCGCTGTCTCGGACAAACTAAACACTCCTCCCACTCAGCGCCGAGTTTACTCAGCTATTTGCCGACGTTGAAGCCCAGAAACAGAGATTCTGGCCGCTCGGTAATGTGTTCACGACTGAAAGAGAAAGTTTTCCAACTAACTTCCAGACAAAGCTGATATAACTCCTGCGAGCAGTGACACTCTCAAGTCAGCATGACTCTGTGGCTGCTGTAGTTTTTATTTTTCCTCCCCGACACACAACAACGTGGTCAAGCTGCTCAGACATGTTCATCAGCAAAAACCTATGTGAGCACCTGTTGTCATCTAATGTTGTCATTATTATGATGAAGATGAACAAAACAACAGGAGTCTGCTCCTCAGCTCAGATCAACCCCATGATGCAGGTATCTGGCTGGAACAGGTGAGCATCACAGTAAACCAGTGGAGCAAACTGAGCTTTAAATATGTTGGTTTTATGCTCTTTTTCTGCTCCAAAACATGAAAGTTAACAGGTGAGATGTTGCATTTTCATTTAAGATAAAATTATATCTTTATTTTGTTGTTGGCCCGTGAGAAAAGATTTAACCTACAGTAAACAGGAAGTGGAAAGGCTGCAGATAGATGAATAGAATAGAAAATCCCTTTATTGTTCCTCAGGGGGAAAGCTAGACGTCACAGCAGCAATGACATGTATTACAGGAGAAAAAAGGAGAATAAAAAATTAGTAAAATGAGTAAACAACAAGAAAACATAAATCCTGAATAGATTTAAAAAATGCTGATTATACCACAAGTAATGAATACCACAGATGCCTTTTATTTAAAACTGACTTGCTCGTGTGTGATTTGGTTATTCCACATTCAGTGTTAATGCAGAAATAAGTTTGTTTCCAAATTAAAAGGTTCAAAATTGCATAAATGTTGATGAAGAAAATGTGCAAATTTGCCGTCAGTTTTTCAAAAAATACTGAGTTTGGCCCTCGACTCCGTCCCAGAGTTTCATTTCGGCCCCGTGTGAATTAAGAGTTTGACACCCCTGCTATAGACGATAGGGCCTATGCTAATTTATAGCAGTGTGGCTCACTAGCATGTGGTTCACAAGGTGACCCCAATAGGCTTGTACAGTTTAAACATTCAAATGTAGACTTTTTTTTATCTCTGCTCAGATCATTCAAATGTCCCAAACTCTCTGTCTTTATAGAAGAAAGGAAAAAAGAACCTGCATGGCCACCTTTCAGAATAAAGGTTCCAGCTACACAAAATGTGTTTGGCATTGAGACGAACCAGGAAATTACAGCGTGCCTAACGTAATGTTTATTTAAAAGCCTGATTTGAGCTGGTGTTTCTAACCTGGGTCAGGGTGTCTGCCTGTATCCCCAGAGGAAGTCAGCTGCCAGGCGTTTCCACTGGCACAGAACAACCCTGTAATGAAGGGGTTCCTCTGCTACCCCCCCCCCCCCTTCTCACTAAAACCACCTTTTTTCTGATACATTTAAAAGAATTCCCCCAGCTAACAAAGGCTACTGCAGTCCCACTGGGTTTATGCAACTACAACTAATTCCACACTAGAGTTCTGAGTAAGATGTCAGATGGGACTCAGAAACCACTTCTATGTTGCTATCAGACTAAAAATAGCCAATAATATATTAAAATGTGTAGATTTTACCAAAATATATGCATTGGTTTTGTTGAGTCACATTACATAAATAAATAAAATGTACTTACTACATATTTATGAAAAAAATCTTTCAAGTCAGATTGTATTCCACAGATTCTAACTTTTATAACTATTTGCTGATTTACTTTTTATTACTGTGGCATTGAATTATAATGAAACTTATTATTACATGCTCATCTCAATTAAAGGGATACTACGCAGTTTTGTTTGCTTTTAGCACCCCTAGCATTCATTATTAATTATCTGCGGTCAAAGCAAAAGTGAAACATATCGCTTTGTCTTTTTAACACCTTAATCTAACAGCTGCAGACTGTCTCCCCAGCCCTCATTAGTGTCTACAGGAGTGATTAATCACTAAATCAAACAAAATCAGCTGTGTTCGTGATCTAAAACATGCAGGAAACGTGCTGGAAGCAGTTTGCAGTGCCAGATATGTCGGTCCACAGGTGATGGCTCAGCACACTGAAATTGCAAACATGGTATTTTGGCCACAGAGGGCGGTAAGGGTCTAAGAGACATTTATTTCATCCTGTAAAGGTTCAGCTAGCACATACTGGCTCAAGAAAATGATTTAAAAAATATGAAAAAGTTGCAAAGTGTCCCTTTAATTACTTTTGGAAGTTAGTTCAAGATGGTAGTATCTTAGGGAACCCAAAAATGGCCTTTTAGTGTTAAAGTTTGGTGTATTTGTAGCTAAGAAACAGCCCATACTCAGACATTGTTGGTTAGGTATTTAGCTTGAGTCAAAAATCTCATGATCCTCATGATGGTTTTTAACAAAATGTCATTGAGGTTCAGTTGTTGGATAGGTAGGATTAGCCAAACCCTGACATATCCAAAGGCAAACATTTTGGGAGCTGTTACTGCAAATGGAACCACTGGAGTTAGGCTAAAATGGGGGTAAAGTGTTCATATTTAAGTAATCCAGTTAAAAGATTTACAGTTTGCACGTCCTGAAGATGAGTGATAGAAGAGGCACCAAGTTCTCCACACAGTGCATGGCAGTAAATCCAGCCGAACCGTAACAAAGGTGCAGAGTGCAGAAGCTGTCTCAGATGGGAAAACGTGTTTTATTTACCACTAACCTGATCTGAGTGTCAAACTTAAGCTCTAACTGGTGAGTCAGAGTTTTTTGACTAAACTGGGCCAATGTACCAATTGCCATATCAAAATGTCTTTCCCTTTTAGAAGTTTTAAAAGCTAATGGCAAAAGGAAAGCACCTAAAACTAATCCCTGTGGAACACCACCATACGGAAACAAGGACACAATAACTTCTGTTCAATCTAACATTTAAGAACTAATTAGTAATGAAAGTTTAAAGAGATTTATATAAATATTTTTCAAAAGGGTTTTCCCTCAAATTCCCTTTTTTAATCTAAGAATGATTCTTTTTTTATTTTTATTTTTTAAAGAAGAAAACCAAAACAGGTTATTTTGGTAGGAAATACCAGAGTTCGAAACAAACAAAGCATTACGTAATTTTATACTTTTAAATTACTGATACTTTCCAAAGAGTATAATATTTTTCATTGTTTAAAGTCTAAAGTTTGAAAAAAAATATATGTATAAATGGTTTATCACAAAAATTTAGCCTTAAAAGTTTTTGGTTGGACACTAAAGAGTAAATTGTAGTTTGAGGGCTGGTCTTTAATATTAAAGATGTTAAGGTTAAAGAGAAGATTACCCTGAAGTTAGACTGTTTTCTAAAGTCAACCTGGACTCATTTCATTATAGACAACAAAACAGAAGAGAGACAAAGCTTTGTAATGTGGTCTCTATTTAGCTAAAAAGGTTTTTCACTCAAATAGTTATAATAAATTAGCAATGATGACTTTTTCGTAATTAATTCATAAGATCTTAATATTTTTCATTATTAATGCTGCTTTTTTTACTTCTGTTTGTTCATAGTCAAATATTTTTATACAAATTTCTATAAAATTTGTAATAACGTTAGAATGAAGTCGTCTTGCTGTTTAAAGCCAGATCAGATACTCAGGAGTGCGAGATCCTTATGTAGAGATGGCAAACGCTGAGAAATTAAATCCAAATTTTTCTGTTGCTATAAAAACAAGATGTTGCTAAGCAAAACACACACACACACACACACACACACACACACACACACACGTGTGTCTATTACAAACTCCGCTGTTGTCTGTAACCACTGTTTACTCAATCTCTTATCTCACTCCCTGCTGGTTTGGGAGTGATGTCATTGGCTGAAACAGAAAGAGAAATGCACTTTGTTCCCAAGCAGGATTTGCTTTTCAGTTCGACCAGAACAGGATATTTTTTCTGGGAATTCTGACATTTAGCCTCTGATTAATTAGTTTTCCTCTCACCTTTTTTTTTTTTTTTTTTACACCAGCTCTGACATGCGTTTGGGACCAGATCCACGTCTTAGATGCTTTTCTTCTGCTGAGTTTGATGAGTGAATAATGATGAGTATCATCATTACAGTACCCTCTACCACCCACCCTGCACCCTATTCAGACTCGATCCTCCCTGAAACGGATGCAGGCCTTAAATGTGCCACGGACAAATGGTTTGCATCGGCTGACTTGGTGGGCCGTGAGCCGTTTCTGTTGTTTCTGGCCTTGTTGCAGGTTTATCTTCCCCTCCAGCGTAAGCTAACATGTAGTAAATACCATAAAAATAACAGAAAAACATTAAAACTCTAAGTAACTGGAAACTCTTGCTCAGTCGGTGCTCAAATCTGCACACGTGTTCCATATGTCCGTGCTGCTGCGCCGTTTCGTCACCACAACGTGTGTTCAGACCTAAAGGACGTGCCTATGGTCTGACCGAGTCGGAGAGGAGGATTTATAAACGATCTGCCTCCAGAGTGCAATCAACACGTGTGAAATACGTCGCTCTGATGTTTAGTAACTTCCTGCTTGTGGGTCATCAGATATTAAATACAAGTGAAAGTAAAATATTGGTGTTAAAGGAAAACATTTCTTCTTAAACCTTTAAAAACAACAGTTGAACACATTTTTTCTCCAAAACATTTTTGCTCTTTTGTAGTTTAAACACCTCTTCTCATTAGAGCAACAAATGCCATAAATCTCCAGCTTAAATCGGCCAATTTTTTTTTAAAGTACATCATTTATAAATATCCCTGTAGTTCTAAAACAACAAATATGTCTGATAAATGTATATTTTTCCTGGTTTTTTAGCTCAGAAACACACTAAAGCATTATAGTTTACATAAACAAAATTATCTGCTTCGGGTGCTGGAAATGATTTTAAAAGAAAGCTAAATTTCTAATTTACATTTCTAAAGTACATTTTTATTAATCACGCTAAGTTTGATATGTCACAGTGAAACAAAACTCCACATCTCAAATACAACTGAAGTATTTTATCTAAAAATAATTTAAATGAAAAAAACTTCTGAGAATAACTGATGAACTACAAAATAAACACTGAAACTGCAGCCTGTTAAAAACTTTAGACCTACGTTTTTCAGAACAGCTCTTCCTTCCATTTTTTGTTGTGCAAAATTTCCAAGCTGACTCAGACGTTGGTTTATAATTAAACCTATTCAAAAAAACTCTAAATAACCTTAGTAACATGTGACTAAAGACCCAAGAATATCTGTTCAGTTCATGTCAGAATGACCAACCATGTTTCTCTAACAACTTGTTTAAAACGGTTTTAGCACTTCCTCCTTATTCCAAGTGAAGGTTCCTACCTGTTGCTTTGCCGCTTTAAGCTTATTATCTTTCCATTCAACGCTTCTCCTCTCTTAGTGGCAGCTGTAATGTGGGCATTCCTGCAGTCAGACCAAACAATAAGGGATGTGCTCCCTGCCTGTGGACCATTACATCATCAGCATGACCTTATATGGGGCTCTGCATTGCACATGCTCACAAGAAGGGGGTGTTCTTGCTCGTGAGAGTGACTGCGTGTGTCTGAGGAACACTTGAGTTATGTTCTGGTTGGTGTCAAATTAAATCACTTGTAAAAGGCTTGAGACTGGACTTGGACCTGTAACTCAAAGACTGAGTCAGAGATTGAACAAGACTAGAGTCAAATACTTGATTCTACTTGAACTTGAAACTAAAAGACTTAAGACTTTGAGTTGAGTTAGACTTTAGACTTGGACTTTAACCTGAAGTATTTGAGCCTCGACTTGGACATTAGCCTTAGTGATGTCAGACCAGACGTGGTATTAAACATCAAGTCTTTGAGACTCAACATGGACCTTAGCCTCAATCGCTTGAGACCTGACTTGGACCTGCAGCATAAGCATGCTTGACTTAGACTTGAACCTCAAGATCTTGAGATTGCCTTGGACTTGCCACCTTCCCATCTCTTTCTCTGCAGCTTAGTAACCAGGTTACATTTAACTCTTAGATACAAACATGTAGTCAAGGACTTGATTCTCAGACCTCAAGTCCAAGTCTATTCATGTAATGAGCTTTTTATTGGAGTTCCTGACCAAGTCTCAATGCCAAGGAACCTTGCTTTGATGTCTTGGCCCCGCCCTGGTTGCCTAGGAGATGCACGTCATTAGGAACCGCCAAGACGTGTTCTAATTTTCATGTTCTACCGAGGCGCGTGTTCTCCGTTTATTAGCCGTTTAGCTAGCTAAGCAAGGATGCACTGGAGGTGTCTTACAGCCTAGCCTTGGTCAAAATTACCCACAATACACCACGGTATTTTCAAAAGGATGGTGGATCAGAAGCTGGCAGCTACTTTGGGGGCAAAATTTCAAGTTTAAAAATAAGTCAACTAATTGAAAATGTTTTTTTTTTTTTAGATCCAAAGAAGGTATCTATGGTTGGTTAGTTTTTTAGTAGTTGCAGCTTCGGTGGCTCGCGGGTGGTAACTCACTTATATTGTTAATTTAATAAACATATACACAATTTAAAAAGTAAAAAGCTCATTTTATATTTATATTGAAAATAATACATATAAAATATAACGTTATCTCCCGTGTCACGTGACGTTACATGACCGCCGTGGAAGCCGCGGTCACGTGATGCAAGTCTGTTCCATTTAACCATTTTCTTTGGCCAAGGAAGGACAGTGTCCTCGTAAGTAAGGCGCCTGGCCTCGCATTGAGAAACACCCTCAGAGTCTGTAAAGGAGAAGAACTACTTCACATAAACGAGAGTAAAACAAGGATCTTTTTTACATTTATTCTCTCAGAAAGAAACAGAAATCTGCTGTTTTATTTAAATATTCCATGTGTGGTTTCCCGTAAGGTCCTAGGTGTACTGCAGAGCGTGATGCGTTCTGGAACGCAGGTGCGGCACTACGCTGGATGCATTTGGAAGCTACCACAGCGCATCTGGTGTAAACCAATCCATAGACTATAATAGCTTTTATTAGCTGCAGAGACAGAAACACTGCAGCGAGGAGCTGCTCAAGCACCTGGTGTTCATTGGGTCTAAAGCCAGCTCTTCTACGTCTCTTACCTGTGAGGTTATTGATGGATCAACACACTGGATTTTCCCATCACATTGCGATCGCACCTCGAGTCAGCACTCACCGTTCTCTTTATCAGTGGCACATTGTTTATCACAATGCTGCAGTCTTAGCGCTTCTCAGATAATAGCTGGCTAAATCCATATTCAACACTCTGCATTGTTCTTTCAGGAGCTGGTTTTGCATCAATCTGTCAGGAGTTTTTACTCAGCCGTCAGTGTCTATTGCTCTTTGAAACAGAGAGAACGGTGACGAAACAAATGAGCAGATCATTCCTGAAAAACGTACTGCACTGACAGCAGGAGTTCATCCAAGCTGACTAGTTGTGACTCGGTGCAAGACTCTAAATTAGTCACATGAAGTTGTTAAACGGTTTTCTTTGTTAGTTCATGCTTTAGGCAGAACGATGACCTGAGTGACTTGTCTTGATAAATAAAATATGTCACGGCCTCATGATGACTGATGTCACTGTTTTACCAGGAAGGCGAATGGATACAGACCAGGATTGATTTAAAACAGCTGTTATGTTAAATCCGGAGCATTCTGTTAAGTAGCTAGAAGTTTCTAAAGGGTGTCTCGGACAAATCTAAGTTCAGACAAGATGCTTTCATCTTAGTTTATAAACAGTTTAGGAAGTGTAAACAAAATCAAGATGAAAATCAGAGGAAATGTTAAAGCTGCTGCCAGTGGCTCATTAGGATAATCATAGTAACTACTGGTAGTTAGTGTGACATTACCATTATCAGTTGGAAAAGTCTTCAAAAACACGAATGATACCAAAATACCAGTTCAGTCATGTAAAGTTTATCTGAATGATGTTTCTACTGTGAAGTCTAGATAAAGAGCTCCTGTCTCACCTGTCCTTCTGATTATGGGGAATTTTGATATTTCTGCAACATACATGATTCCTGATTGAAATGCATGTTTTGGTGTACAAATGCATATGAGCCAATATTTTCTAAAGCCTCAGAGTGTGAAGCGATTGTGAACAGGATATGCATTCATTATAGATAAATCAAGCACCAGGTGGTTAAACAACACTTTTTATTCCATCTGTTAATGTTGTCAGTTTATTTGGTTTTGTTTTAAGTCGACACTTCTGTAATATAGAGGCTAACGCTTCTTTGCACTGGCCTTGAAACTCTGCGTAATGTAATAGCTGTGTTTTACCCAGAGGCCCATTCCAACACATTCTCACACCCAAAGCGTCAAAATATGACGCGTGTGACCAAGCCTCAATATATGACGATTCGGGATGCCCCAGCGCATCAGGAGACGACGATCAGGGACACGTGTGACCGCTGGCGTCAGTGTTTGACGCCCGCGGTCACACGGACATTGTTCGACTATTTAACCTTCCCCTCACCCCAATCCTAACCTTAAGGTCAGTAACTGTGACCTTAAGGTTATGATTGGGGTAAGGGGAAGGTTAAGTAGTTCACAAGTCGTTCTAATGTCCGTCTCACCACCGGCGTCAGATACCGATGCTTTGGGACGGTGCATCATCAGTGTGTCCCTGATCGTCGTCTCCTGACACGCTGGGGCGTCCCGAATCGTCATATATTGAGGCTTGGTCACACGTGTCATATTTTGACACTTTGGGTGTGAGAATGTGTTGCCCATTCCCAACCAAGAGCAAATCTGATGTGAAATGGGAGCCAAAGCATTCCACATAGACGATCCTGTGATGTCACAAAATCATGGGAGAATTGCAACACCATGCATGATTTCAGACATCACATACAATATTAAGCAAGGAAAAAGGCAGCTGCATGTATCAAAAAAGGTCTGTGGTTTATTTTCGGTTCTGTTTGCATTGCCTACAGAGGTTTTAACAGGAAATCATATACGTTTATGTGCATGTGTTTATGTGACTTTTATTTTGAAAGTTTTCAAATGTTTTACACAGCTTTTGTGTTTGACTTCCTGTCTGCCATTATCTAAACTGTGGAGTTCGACGTATTTTTTATGGATAGTGTATAAAAAATAGACTCGCAATGATAGAGTCACCTCGTTTCTGGGGCGCGTCCAAAATGTTACACTTTGCTGCCGGTGGAAAGGAACTGGTCGACTGTAACGGCGGCGGCTAATTGCTGCGTAGTACGTTTCTCTGTTGCTTTGTGATGCTTTCATGTGCAGTGAAAATAAGGGGTTAGGTGTGCTCTACCAGATGGTTGGCCAGAACCCCAAAGAGTTCAAAGAATCATTCTCTAAAACGTGCTTCAAGAAAAACTTTTGTGAATTTTAGTCACAGCAGCACCCAGACTGTTCAGTGAGTGTTAAACATGTGACCTGGTGGCTTATGTTTGTCACCGATTGGAGGAGACAGTTATTGGAGCACAGTGAATGAGGCTATGTGGAAAGGGTTTTCATAGCCAAAGATACCATGAACTTCCCCGTTCTGCCTGTCCAAACATGCTAAATTTGAATTTGGACAAACCCAGGAGGACATGGTTGAGGCTGCAGACCTATTCTTCTAAAGCTATAACTACAAATCTAGAAATAGTGTTAATAAGTCAATACAGAACACCCTAACAAGCTTACATTTTTGTTCCATTTATGAATGCAGTTTTAATACAGTGAAGGGTAAAAAGTTGACCTTACCGAGAAATGTAAAGCGTCAACTTTTGGTTTTACCGTGAGAATCAGATCATTGGCGTGCCTCCTTGTGCAACGTTTGCTGTTACATTTTTATGCAGTCATCCAACAACCATCCAGTGAGCCTCCGGCTCTAAACTATGATGTGTTTGTTCCATTTTTGCAACAAACTGTTTAATCTGGGAGCAAACAGTTTGTTCATTCAGAGTTGGGATCTATTTCTGGTTCCGTACACACGGAGGGCTCTGAGTAATGTACGCTCGAACCAGATGTTGGGGATCAAACACACGAGCAGGCCACATGAACATGTTTGCTGTGACAAGCCTCTGCCAAATGACAAATAGTAGGGAGATGAAGAAGCGTTGTGTAACCGCTGAAGAATGACTCCAACTCTGACAATACACGGAAGAATGTGGGGTTTGGGATTTGGTTAAATCAGGATTGGAAGCTGTTGTTGGACCCCGAGGCGCAGTAGTTGAGATGTTCTTAAGCGATAAAATGACGACTGTTTTCAAGCATTTTCACAAGACAAATCTGTTAAAAAGGGATGTTTTTACTTGGATGAATGGGGTGATTGAAGAATAAAGACCTGAGCCTTAAAGGGATATTCCAGTCATTTAGGACCTTTACACTGTCGTCAGCTTGACCCCAAAATTCCACTATCTCCGCTCCGCCCCCGCTTTCCGCCGCCGCTCGCTTCCGAATTCCAAATATACTATACACGCTCTACAACGGCTCCGCCCCGGTGCGCGCAAACAGGCATGCACGGGATTTTCGAGATCTCGCGATACAGTCTGAGCAATAAATGCGGAAGTTAGATCCAAACAAATCATTGTGTGGGAGAAGCATCGAAAAGAACTGTTTAATCTGCCATCATTTGTGTTGAGAGATCAGCACGTGTTTGGATCAACAATGGGTGAGTACATTGATAGTAGAAACTGTATTTATGGCTTATTTTTGTGCATTAAAGTTCAACCGCCATTGATAGTTGTTAAAAGTTGTTAAACCTGTGCATATGAAACAAAAAAAAAAGCTTTTTGTTTATCGATTTATTGTGAGATAATGGAAGTTGTGCTCGCTCCTTTTCCTGTTGGGTGGTTGTGATTTCTGTCCATTGACTGCGGAGGTGCTCCGGCGTCCGGCAAAAATAGAAGCTATCCTATTAGGGATGAGTGAGTACACCACTATCTGTATCTGTGTCTGTATCTGTTCAACCATCTAAATTATCTGTATCCATATCTGTACTCGGAGTGGGCGTGGCCTAACCCGGAAATGGGTGTAGTTTAACCAATACGTTATTTTAAGTCTGATCAGAAGTTGCTATGTGTATTGTTTATTTGAAAACTATTTACAGATCAGCCTCAGAGTTGAGATTAAATGTTTTTGATCACAATAGTAAAGGAACTATTACAGAAGAAGTTTTTCAATAAAATCAGAACATTAATATTTAAGTGCATGAATTGAGAGAGAGAGAGAGAGAGCGAGAGAGAGAGAGCGAGAGAGAGAGAGAGAGAGAGAGAGAGAGAGAGAGAGAGAGAGAGAGAGAGAGAAGTTATGAAAACAAAACTTTAAATAAATAGTCCAGCTTTTCCAGACAACTTAAAGGGTGTTGCGAGGGTTAAAGTAAGAGTCAAAGTCCCATTAGTCATCACACACTGGTGAAATTCATCTCTGCATTTGACCCATCTCCATGGGGAGTGGTGAGCTACAGCTGTGGCTGCGCTTGGGAGCTATTTGGTGGTTTAAAAATAAGACAATTGTGATTAAAAAATGTAAGGAAAGAAAGAGAGAGAGTGAATAGGAAAGAGGGAGTGGATCCTGAGGGAGGAGAGAGAGGGAAAAAAAAACGGAGCGGAGATAGTGACTGGCGCAGCACGAGCCGTTTTCAGCTCTGTCTTTTCAAATGCACCACGTACGTTACGAAAAATTTAACTTTAAGTATTTTTAAAGTAACTTTAAAAAGAGGTGAACTGAAGAAAACCTAGGGAGTACTGCAGAAACGTGAACAACAGTGAAGCAAGCACAGAGAGATCAGTTACAGTCTGTGTGTGTGCTTGGATGGACCGGACGCGGACTGAGCTCCTGGTGCAGAGTTTTGTGTGTAGGGAGGGGCGGGCGCTCTATGTGACTGGCCAATCACAGAGCGTGAAGACAGTCAGTTACCCAATGAGGATTTTCCTTCAGCACGATTACAGATATTTACGAGTTTTACTCGTTTCATGCTCGTACTCGTAAAAAATGCTTTATCCGTACCGGATACTCATCTGAAACGAGTATCCGGCTCATCCCTAGATCCTATTTTTGCCGGATGGCGGAACGGCGGGCGGCGCACTGCGCCGCACGGTCGCAGTAGTGGAACAGCTCTGATTGACCACAAAGGGACCGTTTTTGCTGCGGAGTTCTTGCCGGAGCAGAGATAGTGGAACTTTGGGGTAACGAAGGCGTTGCTCCTTTCTGATAAGAGCCCCTTTTTCCAACCCCAAAGCCACGCTTGGCATTAAAGAGTAGGTGAAGATCTCCATCACCCTGGGGGAAGTTGGAGAAGAACTTCTGCTCCTCTTCGACAGTAGTCATCTGGCATCCTATTAGGGGTCGTGCTGGGAGTAGATCCCGAGATAGATCCGGACTTTGCTGTAGGATTTTATATCTACCATTCACTTGTTTTTTCAACAAATCTGCTGTGGTGTCTAGTATGAATGGAAGCCTTGTGAGCCGTCTTCTGAGGGAAAAAAGGTGTGGTACTCCTGATTCAGAGGTAGAAGTTATTTTGAGGATAAAGACTGGTTTATACTCCTCCGTCAGCTTCAGTGTGGAGTCTCGCATACGAGATATTTTCCCTTCAGACTTCTCCATCACCTGGGGAGTTTTGCAAAGCAATTCCCAACCAGGACAACAGAGGGCATAGCACTTTTCTGGGGAATCTCGCCACTATTACAGTCACACATCTGGTCCAAGATAGTGGGTGTTTCTCAATGTCAAGGAACCTTGCCTTGATGTCTTGGCCCTACCCCGGTTGCCTAGGAGATACGTCATCGGGAGCCGCCAAGACGTGTTCCAATGTTCATGTTCTACAGAGGCGTGTGTCCTCCGTTTGTTAGCCATTTAGCAAGCTGAGCATCAATACACGGGAGGTGTCTTGTAGCCTAGCCTTGGTCAAAAATTACCCAGAATACACCGCAGTATTTTCAAAAGGATGGCGGATCATAAGCCATCAGCTACTTCTGGGGCAAATTTCTGTTTAAAAGTAAGTCAACTAATTTAAAATATATATTTTTTTTAGATCCAAAGAAGTTATCTATGGTCGGTTATTTGCAGCTTCGGTGGATAGAGGCTAGTAACTCACTTATATATTTAATTTAATAAACATATACACAATTTAAAAAGTAAAATTCTCATTCTATATTTATATTGAAAATAATACATATAAAATATAACGTTATCTCCCGTGTCACGTGACGTTACGTGACCGCTGTGGAAGCCGCGGTCACGTGATGCAAGTCTGTTCCATTTAACCGTTTTCATTGACCAAGGAAGGACAGTGTCCTCTTAAGCAAGGCGCCTGGTCTTGTGAGACGTATTAGTTTCAATATAAATATTGAACGAGTCTTTTACTTTTTAAGCTGTGCATGTCACACATCACATCTCTGGTGATTGGTGGTTTCTGA